GAGAATCCCACGAGCTCCAGACACATAGTTTAACGTCTCTGAGTGACAGTCATTGAGATCCTGCAGAAATTCCTGAAGTATGGGTATTTCTGTAAAAAACGTTTTGCATCTTGTATAGTTACAAAACATACTTACATTTTATTGCCATAATCCAATTAGTCATTCTTGTTTGTTTTGTTAAAGTAAAGTAAATCTAAATGTGCTCATATATGAAGACTTCACCTACCAGTGTCGTCTCGATCTAGATAGGTTTTTTCTAGAAACTCGTCAGAGCTCACTGTGAGCACTTTGAAACTTTCATCACTGAAATGTTTCTGAAAAGAAAAAGTTTTGGTTTTAAGTAGTGCTGGGCAAGTTAACGCCTTATTTCGCGTTAATGCATTCATTAATTAACGCCGACAATTATTTTATCGCGCGTTAACGCATTTTTTATTATTATTTTTTTATTTTTTATTGAAAGACAAGAGACAATACATAGACATAACAACAAGAGGATGACAAGAACAGTGGGATAAAAGCCAGCAAACATCCTATAGTCGGTTGTGTATGTATGTGTGTGTGTGTGTGTGTGTGTGTGTGTGTGTGTGTGAACGTGTGTGTGTGTGTGTATGTCCTTGAGCCTTTTGAGATGGGAAAAAAATAATAATAATAAAACAACAAAAAAACACAAAAAAAAACAGGTAAGTATTTTTAATTTATTATTATTGTAACAGACTGTCTCATGTTTATCGTTTTGTATTGGAGATATGATGTCCCTTCAGGGTTGCCGTAGAGAAAGGCGACTTCCGCTTCTGGTCGAGGGGGGGCAGAAATAAAGAGAGAAGCTGCACCAGCTGTTGCTCTCCCTGGAGACTACTGGACATCGCTGCGGTAAAGTCAGCAGACACTAAGATCTCCGTGGTCAAGTCAGCAGACACTTACATTTTAGTGCACCTATATGCTGAAATTCACGGTAAACCCAGAGCGAAGGACTTTGAAAGTTTGCGGAAACATTAACGTGAGACAACATCCGGTTTCTTCAGATGAACATCCGGTTTTCAGAATAAGATGCCAACAAAGTATGAATTATATTCACATTATGTATAAAACATGCTACCTGCATCTCGTGAACCAAATGTTATTGCACTTTTGTTCATATAGCAGTACTTTTAAAATAAAAGTGCGCAATACACTACTTTTGAATTCATTATTGAACTTTGCCATAACAATGCGATTAATCGCAAAAAATCCATGCGATTAATCGCGATTAAATATTTTTATCATTGCCCAGCACTAGTTTTAAGACATGCTTAGAGTCGCCGACAATCTTTATGTTGTACTTTCTGTCAATCTATAAAACTCACCTTAACCTCCTTTAGTTTGCTGAATTCTTCTTTCACTTCCTTCTTGGCTTGTTCGTTTCTTTTCAATATCAAAGCACGAACAGCAGCTGTGGAACTAAATGAAAATATTTGCATTATTTTGTGTCACCTGTGTGAGCAGTTATTGATTTCTAAAGGAATTTCTTTGAAAGAACTG